ACTAAATCCCTCCTAAGGAACTTCTTTTATAAAGTAGCCTACATTTTGTCTTTTATTCTCTTTTATAGCTGTGCAGGAACACATGATTTTATGTGCATGGCAAATGACTAGTGACTAGGGACCGTCACACTGCTCACTGGGTCTTATACCTTTTGTACCATGTGGTTCAGGCTGAATTGCCAGTAGCTACTGTACATTACCATTAGCATGTGACCTGCACTTGCACCTAGAGCTCATACCACCATGGACAGTCCCACTCCTTCCCTCACCACTCTCATATGACACAAGCTTACTGCGCTTTATTTATATTGCCATATAACCGTTCACTGCATACTGCATTATCACACTACCAAATGACAGCCCACTTATCTTTTGTACAGTGTTTCCTCAAGGTTTATGTATATTGAATATTTTGTCTATATTGCATATTCCTCATTTCTTAAAACAAATAAACCTTTCAGATCAAATTGTTATGAGTAATTGCCACGTGATTCTTGAAGCCAGCCATCCTAGGTCCTCATGGGATGATTTTCATTACTTTGTATTATGGGATTTGAGAACAATAATACAGAAGAGTCGTCCAAATTGGCCATTCAGTTTTATATGTGCAACATTGAAAACTCAAGGGAAAAATACAGTCAAATTGGTTTCCACAAGCTGCACTAGACTCCCATACAACACCCTCCCAGGTACTCATGGCCTGCGTTTCATGTTTTTTTTTACTATATAAATGTGGAATGATGGAATAGCAAATTTCTGCATAAAGGCAACTCAAATCACAATAGTCCTCTTTTCTTGGAACTAAATAATTCAGATCAAATTATCTTCAAAATTAGATTCTTGAATTCATGCCCTGGCAGTGCTGATTTTTATTTTTTATTTATTTTGTTTTTTTGGCTGTTTTTTTGTTTGTTTGTTTGTTTTGTTTTGTTTTAGTGTAGTGACTGGGAATTTCTGAACAAATTTCATATTCAATTTAAAAAAAAAAAACAACTGTATGATATATTACTTTTTTTGTGATAATTTCTATAAGCATCCTAAATATAATCCATTTATATCTCTAATCAGAAATAATCCCAGGACTAATGATGTGCCCTTCGTTGTCATCATTTTTCATAATCTACACCTTTTTGATTTTTTTGATCAACAGTAGTTTTGGATTTTACCCAAATACATTAACATTCAAATATGGTTGACTCTATTAAATGTATTTTTGTTTCATAAAACAATCTTGTTTAACAAAGCGTTTATGAAAAGCTGAAATATATCCATAATCCGATTTAAACCATTTTTGAAAATATTTATATTTGTTATTGTTAAAAGTGTTATGATTATTAATTTTATTTATATCACACACTTGTTTCTTTCATTTTTGGCTATTAGAAAATCATAATACTATTAAACATATATTTTTTTAATTAAAATATTTTGTATTCAACAATTCAGCTGCTTTGTGTTTTTGATGTGGTAAAGGTTTAATTTTCATCACTTGCTATAGTTTAAATGTTTTTACGGTATAGCCATTAAAGCCACTGTTATGCAGTAAAAACAATAGTTCAGAGGTCAGCGGTTGCTATGACAATTAAGGTTGGTACTTGAGTGGCTGAAGGGGGGGGGTCATATTACACTTTACCCCTCAGTTAAGAGTGTTTTTTTTTTGTTTGTTTGTTTTTTTTTAAGTGAAAGGGGTCTTTTAGAATTGTTATATCCTTTCATTCATCATTTTATTGAAATAAGACTGATGGATCCAAAGGGGAATAAAAGGTGGGCTTTTCTAATTAGTCCAGTACTGACATGGTTTAGCTGATGTTTTGTATTTAGTTTTATTTTCTGTTTGAAGTATCCTTACTCGGTCACAAAGACCAAGTGGGTAAAAACTTATGCAAGGCACTATTCCTTTTTAAAATTCTCAAAGTGTGCCTCATTTGGTCACTGACCAGTAGAAGTAGATGTCGTAATAAATAGTAAGGCTTCACTTAAAGCACATATATCCTTCAGAGGCAAAAAAAATGGCTACACCGCAAAACATAGTTGAAACGGTAAACTGTAAGAGGAGAAGACCAAAAAAAAAATAAGTGAGCAGCTTCTAATCATGCTCCCAAGAGCAGAAACTGAAGAAATCTGCAATTGAGTCAGGTTGCAGAGATAAAGCTCCTGGGGTTCTGAAGTCAACCTCCTGGAGACAAAGACAGAAGGAGATAAATCATCAAATCTCAGTCTCTAGCTGATGATAGAAGAAAAAACTCACCAGATAAAATTCTTAAACAGAATTCTTTCTTCATAAAGTGGTAAGGCTCTGGTTCAAAGAGAAGCATTGTCATTTTTCACAAAAGATCAAAAGAGGACAGGGCAGCATCTTGAGGCAATGGGGAGCATCCAAATCAAAAATGGAGGAAAAAAAAAAAAGATACAGCTCAGGACCCTTCTATGTAGAGGACCCCCCCACCCCCCTCCTTTTTTTTCCCCCCATGGCAACATAAGTGACATGTGACTACACTACTTTGTTCTGTTTCAGTGCATTTCTAAATGATCATTGCAAATTTTATGGACATCCAGTACATGAATGTATGTAATCTTTCTATGGTCCTCAAACATTCAACATAGTAACAGGAAAAGTCTCCAAGGAAGAAGCCATGTAATGGAGAATGCAAAGAGACCTATTAAAAATGCTTTTTATAAACATAAATGTTTAAACATGATACCAAAGCCATGCCTGCCAGTGCACTCAGTCATTACACAATGTCTATGCATATATTTGTCTTCTAGTCATCTGCTTATTCAAAGACAGAACTGGATGAGATGCTCAGCTGCACTATACTGTTCTCCAGCCCATGCAGTTCAAAAATGTGGAGAAGTCCTTTAATGATATTAAAGAAATGCTAAATGCTACTGGGGACTCACCTGCCAATGACAACAGCATTATCACTGTGTCATGTCACCTCCAGCTTCTTCCTCGAACTCTACTTCCCAAAACAAACGTATCCAACTCCACTTCCCAACAGCATCACAGACTACAAACCATGTCACATGATTCGGTCACATGCTCAAGTGCAATAAATGCAAGAAAAACACCGTAGTTTACTTAAATATGCTGAAATAAAAACCAAACATGATGCTTTATTTTCAAAACTTCACAAAAGACAACAGGACCCAAGGAATCAAGAAAGAGAGTTAGATTTCAGAGCTGATGACTTTTTACAACCTACCAGCACAGACACTTTGATCCTTTAAAGGAAGAATGTACCACAGAACAAAAAGGTTGGAGAATCATTTACCTTTTCATTTACATGTAATCATCCAACACAGAGTGGCTTACCAAAATATTCAAACAGCTGAAATATATTAATGCAAGTGGAGTAAAATATACAGTATTGGAGGATAGCCTCCATATCATCTGAAGACCTTTGCATAAAGAATGGAGACAAGGGAACGGTCAGATTTGGCAAAGTTGATTTGAGAAAGAAGAAAAACTGTGTCACATAACCACTGAGCCACTGCCGTCCATACACACCACTGCCCTGACACACAGTGTACCATATAAATACAAAGATTTTAGCTAGATAGATTTTATATACAAGTAGATGAATGTAGGAAATATTTGTAGGAAGTACTATTTCCTCCACAATAAAGATTGAACTAAATAAATTGATTTATAAGACATAAGTGCTGCACAGAATTCTAAACTTTTTTAGATGCACCTTACATCAGCATTTCATTTGTTAGGAGTCAAAAAAGAGCAACAAGCACAGAATATACAGTACATCACCTCTTTTAAGAAGCCATTTTCTTTCAAATGGCAGAAAACATTAAAGCTAACAGTAAGCATTTGAATTAAGCGAGAAATCATCAGTTTATTTCAGTGCGAAACACTGAAGTTATAAAAATGTAATCTTTTACACGTAGAGTTTGTATTTTATCCAAACCTTTATTGTGGAAGATCTAAATAAACATATTAATATGGTTGTTATACAGTATATAGTTAGGACATTTTTTGATTATTAAAAAACATTGATTTAATACTACTGCTATTTAATACCTATTTAATACCATCACCACCATGTGCCTCATTGTCAGCTGACAGCCAGGAGACAGCACTGCAAACAGGACCAAAGCCAGGTTATTAGATTGGTTTGTTTTTTTCTGTCTTAAAAATTATAATAAATATAAACAAATGAAGAACCAGCAAATAAAACAAACCATTCTGAATATGACCTGATGATGTCATGAAGTGGAGGCTGACGCAAATGCAAGTTTAGCGTTTTATTAAAGGAACTGCCAAACAAGTCCAAAATGTGAGGCAAAGACGTAAACGATATACAGGCAGAGGTCAGGCAATCAGCAAACAACAATGTCAGGGAAAATCCAAAAACCAGAATATCAACACACAGAATAAACAGCTTGATAAAGTCAGGTACAAGCACTCTGAGCATTACTTCATATCAAGTGCGAGTCTGAGAGTCCTATATGTAGTGCTAGGTGTGATTGGTGACAGGTGTGCATGATTAGAAGTCTGGTGACTGTGAACGTGACAAAGTGTGTGTGTTTTGGGAGGTGTAGTTCGGGGCAGCCATGTTTTCTAGGCCAAGGTGAGTTCTGGTTGAGTTTGTTGCCGGTATCTGGGCTGACCTGACAGATGCCATGCCGCATCCAATGAACCACACAATGGGCAGAAGAGGAATTAATTACGAGTGGAACTAATAGACACAAATCCTATTTGTAATTTTCAGGTAATCCTATCCAGGTAATCTCTCCCAAAATCCTATTTTCTGTAATGTTTTTAGTAACTATTCACTATGTAACAATAATTCTAATGTTGATGTTGTTCCTCTTTCAGCTGCTCCCGTTAGGGGTTGCCACAGTGGATCATTGGTCCGCGTATATGATTTGGCACAGTTCTTACGCCGGATGCCCTTCCTGACGCAACCCTCCTCAATTTTATCCGGGCTTGGGACCGGCACTGAGAGCGCACTGTTGCACGCAACCCCAGTGGCTGGGGTCGGTTACCTGACTGGGAATCAAACCTGGGCCGCAGCGGTGAGAGCGCCGTGCCCTAATCACTAGTCCTCCAGGGACCCATGTAACAATAATTCTAATAATGCACTTAAATATCAATTTTACAGCCTAAAGAAATAATTTCACGTTAATAGGATGCACAGTTAATTAATTACATATCCATGGTTAAAACTGATAAATATGTAAATATACTGTATATAAAATAGTGGATTTCCTAAATATATTTTGTGTTTTGTGCAGTATACTTTGTGTGTTATTTTGTCTAATAGAAAAGCATTCAAACAAAATCAGGAGGCAGAGCAGAAAACCCTGGGCCAATCTGCGGAATTCATTCACTACAAGAAATCGTTCCAGCAAGGCAGCCGTGTTTCAAAACCAGTCCTCATTCACTTAGATCAGCTGATTAGCATTCTGGACACTACACTTGGCTTAGCAAACATGAGATGAATTCAGTCATGCCTGATATTTTCAGGTCTTCACTGTGGAGGTGTTGTTGGTACACTACTGACCCAACCACAGAGTCACTGCAAGCAACATATTCAACATGTGGAACAAATGAGCTGTGTATATAGGACAGTTTGACCACAACAATTAAGATCACTCAATAAATGCTGTCTTGAATGCATCACCAAGAAGGACCTCAATTTCTCCTCAGAAAACCCACTGAGTAGATACAACAGTCAAGCAGCAACTAAGCATTGCAGCAGTTTTATGGGATGGAGTCAGACAGGAAATTTTGAGGAAAAGGACTGAGACAAAGATTCTACAGTGGGCCAAAATTCAACATCCCTAGTGAAAATGTGATGTTACACAAACACCAGGGAAGCTAGTCTGGATGTCGTGCAGTGACCTGAAAACAAATTGATGCAATTATTTTACGGAACATTTATTTTATGCAAATTATTTTATGGGTAAAATACATACAAATTTGAATAGCTCTGTTTAAAGAATTTTGCAATCCCATTATTCCAAATAGCATCATTAAAAAGCATTCTGCAGTCTGTGGGTGGTTCCTCAAGAATCCAGTGGATTCTACAGGAAACAAAGGAATCAAAGTTTAATCAATCAAAATAATAGAAAGGTCATTTATGAGGATCTTGCCATCCTCCATTAAAAATAAAAAGCAAAAAAAATTACAACAAAACTATGATTTGCTGCAAACAACTTGACCTTCACATGTTTTTAAAGGGGAATTTTTTCGCATAGTTTGCAAGACATGGCACGGGTATCTGGTAAGGTGTTGTTATAGTAGAGACTGCAGCAAACAATTTCTAGGGGTCTTTTTATAGATTCTTAAAAATAAATAAAATAAAAAAAAGAATCTTGTGAAATGAGTTGTTGTTATTATTTGCCATTGGCCAATCATTTCAACCTGTTACAGTGAAACAAAAGGTGTAACTTTGAAGGTGTGCAAGAATTCAAGAGTTTCAGGACAATTTGATATTGATGTTGTATTAGTTCTTAAAAATAATATTGTGAATTATGGCCTTACAGTATACAGGAAATTGCCATCCAATTATTATTATTATGATTATTATGATGATCATGATGATGATTATTATTATTATAGTGTGTATATTATATATATATATATATATATATATATATATATATATATATATATATATATATATATATATATAAAATGTATAGTAAATAAACATGAAAGTGATTCCATGTGTACAAAGAAAAGTGATTTTGAAGAATCTAGTTAGTTTTGCAGAAAACAATTTGATTGTAACATTTTATAGGGTTTAAAAAAAATTATATTGACTAGGCTTTATGGAGGCATTATTCTAAATTGCTATAGTAGGAAAATATGAAAATTATGCCATCGATGGCTAGCAGAAGTGCTCTTCATGAATCTAGTGGAATTTACTACAACAATTTGATTTAATTTCTTAATGGATTTTAACAGCGGCACATTATAGACCCGAATGCCTAGAGTACGAAAGCATAGAAATCATGTCATAAGTACCCGTGGACATCCTCTTCAAGAATCTGGTTAGCTAGAAGCTATGAGATTTGAACATTTTATAGCTTTTTAAAGCAGAAATATTGTGCATTGGCTTTACGGAAGATTTCGACATACCATCATTGCAAATCAATGTCATTGTCAATAAATTTGCAGTAAACAATTTTTATCCCTAATTAAATCTTGGCCAATTCTTGGCCAATTCTCCCCCATCACACGGCAACTTCCAACCAGGGCTGGTGAAGGCTCTCACGTGCTTCCTCTGAGATACATGAAGCTGCCGAACACATCCTTTCAAACTCCTGCACATGCATCATGGTGCAGTGTAACACTTTCAGAGGAAATCATTATCCACCCCCTTCTGCAAGCATGAGCTCACAGACACCCACGATTGGCTAGTGTTGCTGTGATTGATAGGGGAGAGAGTATGCCACCTCTCCCACAGCCAATTTTGCTCTCTTGGACTCCCGGTCATGGATGGCTGTGGCATGGTCGGGATTTGAACTTGTGATGATAGGGTGATCACTTTTCTGTTGTTCTACTCAAGAGCCCCTGCAGTAAATAATTTGATTGCAATACTTTATTCAAGTTTAATATGTTGCATACGTATATAGAACTAAATGGCCATTTTGAGAATTTGGCCATCCCATGGCCAATCATAAAAAAGCATGAATGTCATGGCAAGGCATTCTGTGCAGTTTGTTGAGAACAATGTAATATGATTTAAAAATGGATATAATTTAATTTTGATTTATCAGCATATTATGGACTTTTCTATGCAATGACTAAATATACAGGCTCAGTTGTAACACTATAAAGGGCAGATACATGTATATTGTTTTTGGTACAGTAGACTAATTTTGTTCGAGCTTTCTAGTGGTCAGACCTTTTTTTCAATAGGGTGTGTTTAATGAAGCTGAAAAAATTCCTGAGATATCAGTGATCCTGACCCCTTCTGCTCTCCGGACCTGCCTGATCCAGCCTGGTACCCTACTTCTGATTGTAGTTCTCATCTCATGGAAACCATTCACTGCTGCTGAGGATATCCCCATATGGACAGCCTAAAGATACATGAGATTACTGTGGATGGTGCCACACAGAAACCCTGAAGATGGCTTTGGACTGCAATTGATACAAACAGTTTTGCTACATTGGTTTAGGACTACAATTGGTATGATAGCTTTAGGACTGCAATTTGCCACGAACAGTTTTGCACTCAAGTCTCTATCAGTGAATAGGTTGATATTTTCAACAAAATAGACTAAACTAGAATGAATTTCCTGGTTACCCAATTTCACTTTTTGACCATGTAGTACACAATTATAGAAGGGAGTTATTTATATTCGTTGTCACCCAGATGAGGATGGGTTCCCTTTTGAGTCTGGTTCCGTTCGAGGTTTCTTCCTCATATCGTCTCAGAGAGTTTTTCTCGACACCGTTGCCTGTGGCTTGCTCATTAGGGATAAATTTATATCCTGAATTTACAGTATGTATTTCTGTAAAGCTGCTTTGTGACAATGTCCATTGTTAAAAGCGCTGTACAAATAAAATTGAATTGAATTGAAAAGAATGTCAGGATTCTTCTTCTCATCAAAATTCCAAAATGCAGATGGTGTGACCTCAGTAGTATTGTAGAGCCGTCAGTGCTAATACGAGACTGTTAATAGACGTAGACTGAAACTCTGAGTATGAGAACGCCTTTCTCAGTGATGTGGCTCTCTATTGCTTACCTGTGCACTTTTTGGGGCTTCCCAGCCGCTTGCCATGCATGCCCAATTTGCAGTTGAAGTTTTCCTCCCAAAATTCAGCAAACCACACATTTCTCCTGTTATTGGAAAGCGAGCGGCTTCGGAAGTAGCGATCAAAGGCTGTGGGAAAAAAGGAAAATGGGTGGTTACTTTAAAGTACAATACATAATATCACTAAATAAACTCAAGTAAACTGAACATAATCTGAACACTTAATCTTTGGGATAAGAGCCTGTTTCTAATCTGAGAGAACATTTTTTGCTCCCTACACATTCCTCTACAAATACTATACATGAACTACATATTAAATAAACATAAGTTAGTTTGTTTTTTAGACTGTTGTGCCCTTTTTGTGTTCAGACTAAATTAAATTACACTTAATTATTCTGGCTGTTTAGCCTGCTCATTAAAATAATCTGCAAAGTCTTGCCATTTGTGTAACGTAAGATGAACATTATAGTACTTTCATATTCTTTGTTTAAAGTTAAGACAACTGCGTTTTTTATGATTAGTCTTATTCTGAAACATACTATGAGCTGTTTTATTGACATGGTCAGCATGATGGCACAGTGGGTAGAGATGATGCCAGACAGCTCCCGGGTCCTCAGTTTGATCCTGTGCTTGGGTTACTGTCTTGGAGTTTCTTAGGCTTCCCACCTCCATGGTAGGTGGATTGATGACTCTAAATTGCCCCAGGTGTTACTGAGTGTGCAAATGTATACTCACTGTCCACTTTAATAGGAACACCTACACACCCGCTCATTTATGCAGTTATCCAATCATTCATGTGGCAGCAGCACAATGCATAAAACACAAATCCTGTTCAGGTTTTGTGAATAGGACCATTACACACACCATTCTGTGCAAACTCTAGAGAGTATTATGTGTGGAAATCCCAGGAGATCAACAGATTCTGAAATACTCAAACCAGCCCATCTGGTACCAATATCCATGTCACGGTTAAAGTCACAGAGATCACACTTTCCTCATTCTGATGTTTGATGGGAACATTAACTGAAGCTCTTGACCTGTATCTGCATGATTTTATGCATTGCGCTGCTGCCACATGATTGAATGATTGGATAACTGCATAAATGTGCAGTTGTATAGGTGTTGCTTTTAAAGTGGAAGGTAAGTATATGCACGTGTGTGTGTGTGTGTGTGTGTGTGTGTGTGTGCATGATGCCCTAGTCACAGACTGGCATCCCATCCAGTGTTAACCATATAGACTCCAGATCACACGGATGTCCTGACCAGGATAAAGCAGTTACTGAAAATGAATGAATGATGTATTAAATTGAACATGTCATCTTGCCTTCTAAACATGAGCCATATT